GGATGGATGGATGGATGGATGGATGGATGGATGGATGGATGGATGGATGGATGGATGGATGGATGGATGGATGGATGGATGGATGGATGGATGGATGGATAAGTGGATGGAAGGAAGGATAAGGAAGGATGTGTCTGTACTCTTGCAGCTGCTGAGCCAGATCTTGAAAGCTTCCTTGGTGAACCATCACCCCATCCCAAGGCTGCTGGTGGAGCCCCTTACTTGTGTTCTGAGCCACCAGGTAAGGACTCAACAGACCCACAGAGCCCGCCGCCTTCTGGTGACTCGGGTGCCAGAGGAGAAGGCAGGGGCCTCTTCCCCTCCACCTGCAATGTGGCCAAAGCCTCCCTCCTTCCCTTTGTATTGTGGTCCTGATTCCCACCCTTTCCCTTTCTTTTTGTTTCCCTTTAGATTTGCATCCGGGGACGAGAGCCGCACAGCCGTGAGAACTGTGCTGAGATCTCCCACATCTTCTTGTGCCTGGGTAGGGCTTAGTTGGAGAAGGGGCAGGGGACGCCCTTCCTGTTGCTGATTCCCCCAAAAAAGGAGACTGGGGGGATCAACACACCCACCCCCCGCCCGCCTTGCCAACACCGCAGTTCCTTTGCCTTTTCCCCACAGCCCGTTCCCGCCCCTCGGATCTGCTGGGGGCTTTTGAGAAGAAACTGGAAAAAGGCCACAAAGAGCTTCGGGTGACATTGCTGCTCTTGCTCTCCAAAATCGTGGGTGCTCAGGGTGAGGAGGACCCTCTGAGGGGGTGGGGGCAGAGATGCCCTGGACACAGCATGCGCAGAGGCCTTAGGATGCCCCCCCACACACACACACGCTTCCTGCTTCTCCAGATCATCCTATATGGAGAGTCTGTGGGCGACTCAGGGAATCCCCAGTCTGAATGTCACCTCCTTCCTGATGTTGCAGAGGAGCCTGATGGTCGCCGGCCAGCTGATCGCTCCTCTCTCAGGTCCCCCGCATCCTCAACGGGGCTGGAGGGGCTAGGGAAAGGCAGGTGGCCCCCGTTTTGTGGGGGGGCAGTCAGCTTGTGGCCCCTTTTAACCCCGACTCGGAATGGAGCTCTCCCATGGAAGGGACGGGGGAGGCCCTTCCTGCTGCTGATCCCCCCAAAAAGGAGACTGGAGGGATCAACAGACCCACCCACCCCCGCCCGCCTTGCCGACACAGCAGCTCCTTTGCCTTTTCCCCACAGCCCGTTCCCGCCCCTCGGATCTGCTGGGGGCTTTTGAGAAGAAACTGGAAAAAGGCCACAAAGAGCTTCGGGTGACATTGCTGCTCTTGCTCTCCAAAATCGTGGGTGCTCAGGGTGAGGAGGACCCTCTGAGGGGGTGGGGGCAGAGATGCCCTGGACACAGCATGCGCAGAGGCCTTAGGATGCCCCCCCACACACACACACGCTTCCTGCTTCTCCAGATCATCCTATATGGAGAGTCTGTGGGCGACTCAGGGAATCCCCAGTCTGAATGTCACCTCCTTCCTGATGTTGCAGAGGAGCCTGATGGTCGCCGGCCAGCTGATCGCTCCTCTCTCAGGTCCCCCGCATCCTCAACGGGGCTGGAGGGGCTAGGGAAAGGCAGGTGGCCCCCGTTTTGTGGGGGGGCAGTCAGCTTGTGGCCCCTTTTAACCCCGACTCGGAATGGAGCTCTCCCATGGAAGGGAGATGAGGATCAGCACCTTGGACAGCACCACGGACAGGGGCTGCCAGCCGGAGCAGATCCTCCTGGGACACTGGAGCCACTCGTGGCCTCTGTGGGGCTGAGGGCAACGGGATGAGGAGGGTTGTCCCAGCCCCAAAGGAGAGCAGGGTGGGTGGTGGGTGGGAGTGGTCTTTAAAACGATTGTTTCTGTCATGCACCCCTAGGCGCCTGAATCAAACAAGGTGGGGTAGAAGAAGCAGGTGAAACACACTCCCCCACCAGCACCAGAAAGCTTGTGGGCAGGAGACCCATAAAGAGCAGCCAGAAGGAGAGGCGGCTGCAGCTGATGGTTCTGGGTGGAGAGAAATGGAAAACAGAATCCAGGAAGAAGAAGGAGCCCCTGGGAGACTGTTCTGGGTGCCAATTGTGGTGGCCTTATTTCAGTTGCCAAGTGGGTCAGCCAGGGGGGTGCCCAGCTTCCAGGTGGAAGGAAAGAGGGTCCCAGCCTCTGGGAGGGGAGGGGGGGTCTGGTCCTGCCTGGGGTCTTTTCTGCTCAAATAGACCAAGCCCCTGCCCTCTTCTGCCTTGGGCCTCTCCAAAGCCTCTCTGACCAGCACAGCCGCCCTTGGTTCCTCTCTTGCAGCGCCGGAGGTCTGGAGCAGGAGGCAGCTGTGCGTGAAGGCGGTGAAGGCTGTGCTGAGGGACCGCGGTGCCAAGGTGAGGCCCAGGACACACATGGGGGTGAGGGTGGGGGTGGGGGGCTAAGGCCCAAATCCGTGGGTTACAACTTGTGTCCATTGCTTTGTTCCAAGCAAGTGGGAGTCCTCGGGAGGGGCAGAGGTTCAGGTTGGGACTTTCCAGTGGGTCATTCATTTCAATTTTTTTGGGATTCCCCCCCTCCCCGGGAGATATGGGTTGCCTTCTGAAATGGATTCCTTGCTCCTCCAAGCAAGAAATCTAATGGATTGGCCCAGATTAAAAGTCCAGGGACTGATTCCGGTGGTCTGCTTCGGGCCAGATCTCAAAAGCCCCTGGCACAAAACCTCGGAGCCTCCCTTCCTGGGGTCGCCCTGAAGGACGTTCCCACATTTTCCTTTCCCCCCCCCCAGCCCAAACTATGCTGGACCCAGCCTCTTTTCTGAACCAAAGAAAACCGGAGTAGAGCGGTCAACTAGGCTGGGTTGGGTTGGGTGGCCAGGCTGCCCTGGAGCCCCATGCCCGGCCGCTGAACAGGATCCAAGGAGACCTAGCAGGAAGGAAGAGGAGGCAAAGGATGGCCAGGGGCAGAAGGGTCCCATCCTGGCCTCTCCTGGGTGAAGGAGACCATCCGGGTCCCTAGAGCTCAGCTCCGAGAGCAGACTGCCCACTTACCTGCCCTCCTCCTCCTCCTCTGGCTCGTAGGTTCGTCTGGCCACGCTCCGGGTCATCGAGAAGCTGCTGCACATGGGGTACCTTGAGAAGGTGGAAGGCTGGCCTCTGAGTTACATCTGTCTGCAGCTGGCTGTGTCTGCCCACCAGCTGGTATGAAAGGGGGGGCACACTGGCCTCTGTACCTTTCAAAATGCAGTAGGGACACACACACAAACATGCCCCAATATCTATGGGATCGGGGCCCTTGGCAGCTGGACCCAAGCAGATCCGGCAGGTGCTCTGTCTCCTTTTTCAGACGCACCCAACACGGAGGCTCCCCCTGGGCGGCCTGGAGGAGAAGGCCATCGAGAGGGCAGCCATGGACGCCCTCCATGCAGCTGTGGCAACCCAGAGGTGTGCCAGCCAGGTGAGTGGCACAGGGAGATGGCACTCCTTTGGCAGGGGTGGAGATGATGCAGGGTGGTGGTGGGTGTGAGTAAGGAGCAGGGGGAAACGGGCCATGGTGGGAGATGTTTAGCACAAACGGTGAATTCCCTGAGCAGCCCAGCCCCTGACCCTTCTTCTGCCCTTGGCAGGAATTATGGGCGAGGATGCTGGGCTACCTGATGCAGCCCTATCACACCGCTTCCGCCGTGCCCTTGTGCCATGCCCTGAGGCTGCTGGCCAAGCAGCGGCTGCGCCAGGTGGCCTGCAAGGAGGGCAAGCTGGAACCAGGTGGGTTCCGGGACGCCCCACCGTCATTCCTCCCGGGTTGAAGCTTCCATGTCCTGTGTTCAGGCCTCCAGAGATCTCTGGGGCTGCCGACAGAAATCTGGGAGCACCCCTGTTTCAAGGTCTTCTCTCGTTTGGAGGGTGGTTCTGGGGTCCTCCCATGCAGATTTGACACACGAGGCAGTCCCGCTCCCTTCCTGACTCTCCGACTGCGGGCCCGTAAAAGGCCCGGAGGGTGATCATCCTGCTGGGTGCTGCCTGCAGCTCTAAGGGGTGCTTGGTGGCCAGAGAATGGCCGACCTCTTGAGTTGTGTTCAATGATCAATGCACCAGTTTTTCAGTCGCTGGGGAAGGAAAATTGGCCACGTGGCTGGGAAAACAGGATCCGTGGCTGATTCTTCACGTCCGTGACCACTATCCTCTCCCGTCCCTCCCTCTTTGCTGTTTCCCTTGCCGACTCTTCCCAGTGGACTCTCCGACCCCCCAGGAACTGCTGATTTGGCTGCTGGTGAGTGAGGACCTGGGCCCAGGGGAGAATCCTGCTCATCCGGTGGCCCCAGAAGAGAGGAGAACGGCTTGTCGGGGCTCCTTCGCTTCACAGAGAATTGGCACGGATGCTTGTCCCGTGACCTCCCTCGGACCGCCACCTTCTGTGGTCCCACATGAAACCCTTCCCGTTCTTGCCCTCCCAGTTGTACCTTCTTTACTCACAGAGCTTGGCGGTTTCACCCTTCGAAGAATCCGGCCGAGGGGCAGCTGCCTTGCGCCTGCTCAGCGCTCTGTGCCCGGAGATCTACCAGGATGTGGCCGAGCACTGGTGGGTGGAGGTGCCAGTCCTGGTCCGTTACCTGGAAGGTAAGCAGAGGAGAAAAGCCTTCCTTCCTTGTCCTGCCCTGCTTACAAGGGCCACTCGGCTGTATTTGACCAGAGCTTGGCTACTGCAGCTGATTGTCCCTGGGCCCGCCCCCTGCCTACGTCAAGTAATCCTCTAGCCAGTCCTCTGAGCTGCTGGCTGCCACCTTCCCCCCCAAGGAGGAGCGCTGTGTACCTCCTGCTTCCCAAGGTGACCCATTTCTTTCTCTCTCTCTTATCCACGGAAGGCCACAGCAAGTACACGCTGGAGGCAGCCACGTGGGAGCAGAAGCTGCTGGAGGTATCGTCCCCAGAAAGGCCAGGGATCGGATCTTCCACACAGCGCCGGTGCCGGTCTCCTCGTCTGTAACCTGACCTTCTCTTCCCGCCCCCTCTGTAGTTCCTAGGGAAGTCTTTGCACCATCATCCTCAGTGGACGGGCGGCCCGGAGGAAGGCAGTGCATGGATCCTGCGGCTGGGGCAGGAGATCGCGAAGCTGGTGGGCCTGGCTCACGGCTGCCCCACTGAGAAGGTCAGTTCAGGGGGACCTTTGGGACGCTGTTCCCGTCTCCCATCCCTTCGGCTTGGCTGTTTGGCAACCTGGCCCCCTTCCTTCCCAGGAAGACCTGTGCCGAGCCCCTTCCCGGGAGAGGCACAAGGAAACCTGCTTCCTGGCATTGACCACCCTTCAGCCAAGAGGAGGGGAGCCCATGGAGGCTGTTTCCCTGCCATGGCAGGCTCAGGTGGCAAGCCATGGAGGACAGGCTGTTCCATCACTTGTTCTAAAAACGAGCGTAAAAACACGGGTCCAGGGAGACAGACAGCTGTCGGAGAGACGTGGATTCCTGCCTCCGTGGCCTTCTGGGCCCCTTCCAATGCCATGATTCCGTGGACAAAGCCCGCTCCCAAACCCACCAAATAGGCCCCCTTTTGAATTCTTCAGAATTCTTTGGTTCCAGGTGAAGAAATAAATTAATAAATAAGGTGGAAGGCCTATTCTTTTGCATATTTGATCCTAGGAAGTATATCACCCGCTGTGGATCCTGGTGAAGACCTTCTGTGGCTTTGACACTCTCCCTCTTTCCCTCCTCCATGGGGCAACCGGGGTTCCAAATGGGGTTCTGAGTTAGATTTTGGGGATAGGGTTAGGGGGGACCGCTGGTGGGGGGAGAACCGCCGGCTGGGCAGTCCAAGCATCAATGACGGAGCCTATCCTTGGTCTTGGCTGGCTGACTCTCCCCTCCTTCAGGCGTTCCTCTACAAGGCCTTGGGGACGACCCTGTCCTTGGCAGAAGAGTCCAAGGGGGTGGCTTCACAGCTCATTGAGGTGATGATGCAGACGGATTACACCGATGAAGGTCAGAGAAAGGTGGGTGCCAGTTTCCGCTCCCTCTCTCCCCTGGGGCTCTTTCCCAGGTTGGTGTTATCCGTGTCCCCCCCCCCACCCGTGAGCCCGTCTCCAACATGTCTACGGGACACATCCCCTTGCTTTGCAGACAGATGTTTGCATCTGCATAGCTCTTCTCTCTTTCTCTGTATGTTGTGTTTGTGTGTGTCATCCTCAGGGCCTTCGCTGGTGCTTGGCTTATTGTGCGAAGGGGCAGCTGCGGGCGGTGCTGGCGGCCCTGAAACTCTTTGAGGAGAAGGCTGTGTCGGGCGCGGGATTCGAAGAGGAGCCCGTTTGCCTTCACTCCGGCCAGGTCAGGCCCCCTCACTCACTCTGACCCTCTAAACACCCTTTAAAAGCCCATCTTGGGCCCTTTTGAGGAGAAAGGCAGAGTAAAAATATTTAAAACAAATAAATTTGAATCAAATCTACTTACCGTCTCTCTGGAGAGCCCAGAATACCCTTAACAGGGGGGCACTGCCCAGGCGGTACAGCCCACAGGACCTGACAGACCCCCCCCTTTGTGTGCATTTGATGTTCACAAGGCCATCTGTGGCCCCGAGAGGGGGGGTTCACTGTGGCCCCTAAGCCTCCCTGCCGGCCCCCTTCCATGGCTCACTTCCATTGACCTCCTATCTCTCAAAGAGGCCTATAAAGCCCCCTCCCCCCATCCCAAGATTGCCTTGGCATCTGGAGGACACGTTATCCCTTTCTGATTTGAATTTGGGGTAGAAGTGGGGGTTTTTTTGGGGGAGGGGAAGAGGTGTTGGAGGGCAGGCATCTCTTCAAGATCCTGGAAGGGCAAAGAGAGCCCCCCCCGAGCCACAAGGGAGACCCACCTTCCCCAAGGCTGGGGATGATGGACACGGCAGCCTGGTTGAGGAAGGCAGATACTGTCCCTCTTGCTGGGGCACACACGGTGCTTTCAGGCAGAGGAAGACCCTTCCCGCTTTCCTCTCCATCACCCTTTCCCAAAGCAAAGATCCTCAAGAGAGAGAGACACACACACACACCCCGGCTTCCCTCTTCCCCTCTCCTCCAGGGCTTGGCGGAGACGGCCAGGGTGAGGAGCGCCCTCCTGTCGCTCTACAGCTGCACTGTGCTCTGGGCTCCTGGGGAGCAGCTGAGGGCTCACCTGGAGAGCAGGATTGTCCCCGGGATCCTGCGCCATTACACGGCCTCGGCTGGTCCCCAGGTGAGGTGCTTTGGGGGAAATGGCGAGCAGGCATAGCAGAGGCCAAAAGGCTTTTGGTGGAAGGGTGGACGGGGATCCACCAGGCTCATTGGGCCGAACCCCTGAGCAGGAGGGGAGAAGGCGGGAGAGGCGAGGGCAAACTTGAGAGAGCCCCCGAGCAGCAACCTATGTTGCAGGTGAAGCGGAAAAAAGGCAAACCACCCTCTCTCCTGAGCTGTTGTGGATATAAAAGGAGAGAAGGGGTTTGGGTCAGCGCTGACCCCACTGGGGCCTGGCTGAGGTCTGTGTCCTTCCTGCTGGTCTGCTGGGGGTCATCCTTCCCCCACCCTCTTGAAGGCCCTCTTCTCCCTCCAGAGAGCCAAGGACACCGAGCTGGTCCTCAGCTTCGCCCAGAGCGTGTCGGAGGTCAGTCTCTCCATCCAGGCCCACGGGGAGCCCCGTGCTTTCCGCCTGTCCCAGAAGCGAGCCCTGCTGGACCATCTCATGGTGAGGGACAACAGGGGGGGGGAGAGGGGAGGGGACGCTGCCTGGGCGGTGAGTCCCAGAAGGAGTGAGCGCAGGGGGAGGGGATGGAGGATGGCAGCTTTTGCCTCTGCTGGGACAGAACTGCCCATCAGGGGTTGAACGGTGAGGAAGGGGAGTTTGGGGTTTTTATTCCGGAAATTCCACGGGACGCCAAGGGGGAAGAAGGATCCCCCTTCTCCTCTCTTCTCGTCACTTTCTGGGTC